CGCTAATACCTCAAGGGGATACCTCATCATTTTGTTATACAAATTAGAGTCATAATTAAAAACATCATGAGCATCAACGTCAATCCACTCTCCTTCAACTTCAAGCACTCTATGTATCATTCTCGTATACTTTCCTTCTCCATAAATACCATTGCTTATTTCTTGTGGGTCTCTGAAATGCTTGATGAACATTTGGATTGCATTCCTCACATCTTGAACGCTAATATTGGTACCCCAAACGAAGGTCGGGGTCGCCTCCTCCATATCATTTCCGCCCTCTGAAGATGGCGATAAGTAATCGTCCGTGGAGGATGGAATGGCGGCTGCAGCAGGAGTCGGGGAAGTGGCTGTGCGGCGCCCACGCTTGGTGGATCGGGATGGATTTGGGGTAGCTGCCGAATTGGCAAAACGAGAAGGATTTGGAGGTGGGGTTGCGGCGGCAGAGGAAGGAGTGGAGGCTTGACGGCGACCACGCCGGCGGCGATGAGCTGGGGAAGAGGTGTCAAGGATGGGGCTTGAGAAGGAATCATCAGGAGAGGAAGGACCTGAAAAAAATTATCTAGATTTAAAAATAATAACAACCTAAAAAAATTACACTTCAAATATATAAAATAATCTAGGTTTTGAAGAGTAGAAGAGAGAGTAACCGTTGTTGAAATTAGCGGAAGAAGAATTGGAAGCCATGGCTAAGAGAAGAAGAGCGGCAAAAAGCGAGGGGGATTTTTCCGAGACGCAAGTGAAAGAAAGAACGGAATTACCTGCTGGTTGGAGAAAAAGAACACTATTTGGCGGGAAATGATGCTGATTTTGGCGCCACAGTTGGCGTCGCCTTATGGGCTTAAGTTTGGGTTTTCTTAACACTCGAGTTTGCTGGCCGTTGGCGGTGAAGCCGGACTTGATAGCCCATTATCCACTATCAAATAACGAACAGTCGGAATCCGGATGGATGTAGTTACATGCACACCTTAAAATTTGAATTTTATTTAATTAATTATTTATTTTCTTAATTATATTCACTTTAATATTTTATATATGCTCATCTCATATAAAATGTTTATATCGTTAATATATGTATATATCTATCCTATAATATATTTATTATTATACATAAGGTATCGTTTTTGTTTTATCATTGATATGCATTTATCGGAGCTTATCAATATCTTCAAATATTTGTCATATATTTATCTCTATATATTTATTAGTTTATTTTCAGTTTCTTGATAAAACATGTATAAAACAATTGACGTCAACGTTTCAATAGGGTTAAAATAATATTATCTTTCTATCACATTTAAATAAGTTTAAGAATATAAAAGTTTGAAGGCGAAAAAAGGAAACAATAAAGTTCAAGAATTAAAATAATAAAGTTAAGGGTTAAGAAGTTATTCTACCAATAAGAAATTCAGTTGTCATATGTGTATGCTTATTACTGAAATCTGTACTTGAAACAAGTACGATAAATAATTAATCCAAATAAATCCAAATTTTCTATCCTAAACGTTAATTATATCTGTCATTATATATATATATATATTGTTGATTTTTTGGTAAAATTTCATATTGGTTGTGTATAAGGAGGAGGGGAAATTCTTTTGTTATAAATAGAGTCATCATCCTCCTTAGTTTAGCATCCCACAAATATAAGTATTCTCCACTATTAAATGTTATTTGTACTCTTTCTCTCTTTGTAATATTTTCTCTATTAGTGAAATATTATTTTAGTAGTGTTCGAGGACATAATCATAATTTTGGCCAAACCTCGTTAAATTTTGGTGTTCTCTTTTATGTCTATTTAATAGTTATTGTCGGGTATAGTTGTTGTTAATTATTGTCCTATTAAAATTACTTGTCTTGGTAGTTCTGTCTAAGAAAATTAGGTTTTAAGAGGGATCATTATGACCCCTCATCTTTCCTGGGAATCTACCTTGGGGTGATTTTTAGTACAATCGTTTTCACACTAGTCACCTAGATAATAGTTTTCAAGGTGAATTTGTTATTATTGGTGGAAATTAACCCGAATTCCACAACAATTGGTATCAGAGCACTTGGTTTATTTTAGTATGCTCTGTGGTTGCGGCTTAGGCTGATCTTCCACATCAGAAAAAAATTCCTAGGAATAATTGACATTCTGCATTGACAATTATTAAATAGAGTTTGTAGCAGAAATGGCAGACGACACAAAAATATCTGCAAGAAATGCTGTGACAAATGTTATATTTGCAGTGGAGATTTTTGATGGCACCGGTCATTTCGACATGTGGCAAAGTGAGGTTCTAGATGCCCTAATTGAAGGAGAGAAACCAGATGATGTTGAGGAAAAAGAATGGAAGATGATCAATAGATTGGCATGTGGTACTATTCGATCGTGTCTTTCTAGAGAGAAGAAGTATGCATTTTCTAAGGAAACTTCTGCAAGTAAATTGTGGAAGGCACTTAATGAGAAATTTTTGAAGAAAAGCGATCAGAACAAGCTCTACATGAAAAAAAGATTGTTCCGCTTCAACTATGTACTAGGTACCACTATGAATGATCACATTACTAGCTTTAATCAGCTGGTGACTGATCTGATGAATATAGAAGTGACTTTTAAAGACGAAGATCTGGCTCTGATGTTGATGGGATCACTTCCTGATGAGTTTGAGTATCTTGAAACTACTCTACTTTATGGGAATGTTGATGTGTCTCTCAGTGAAGTAAATGATGCCTTGTATAGTTATGAATTGAGAAAGAAAGACAAACAAGAAAACACAAGTGTCGAAGCAGAAGCTTTTGTTGTTAGAGGCCGTTCGAAGAGTCAGAATAAAGGAATGAGAGGGAGATCGAAGTCAAAGTCCATATTGAGCAAAGATGAAAGGAGAAAGGTTGTCTCATGATCAAATGTGGTCGAGTATGATGATGCAAATTCAGATTTCGTATTCGCTGCTACGCCATCAACCAGCTGTTCCAATTCATGGCTATTAGATTCAGCTTGTAGCCACCATATGACCCCGAATAGAGAATGTTCTTTGATTTTTAAAGAACTAAAAGGTGGAATTATCTACAAAACAAATAATTCCCCTATTGACACACTTGGGATTGATTCAATTCGCTTGAGGAATCAGGATGGATCAATCAGAACCTTAATAGGTGTCCATTATATACCAAATTTCATAAGAAATCTATCTTTGTGAGAATCTTAGAGTCAAAAGGTTTAAAATTGAGGGCAAAAGATGGGATTATGAGGATTATCTCTGGTGCACTGGTGATAATAAAGGGAATCCGGAAAAGAAACAATGTGTATTACTTTCTGGGTAGTACAATTGTTGGGACAGCAGCAGTGGTAGCTTCTACTGATGAACAGGAGTCAGAAGCAACCAGGTTATGGCATATGCGCTTGGGGCATGTTGGTGAAAAATCCTTGAAATTGCTGATAGATCAAGGATTATTGAAGGGTGCTCGGGCTTGCAAATTAGCTTTTTGTGAGCATTGCATCAAAGGGAAGAAGATGATGGTGAAATTTGGAACAGCAATCCATGATACTAAAGGTATTTTGGATTATGTTCATTCAGATGTATGGGGGTCTTTCAAGACAACTTCATTGGGAGGAACACACTATTATGTCACCTTTGTTGATGATTTTTCCCGAAGAGTTTAGGTGTATACAATGAAGACAAAGGATGAGGTGCTAGGATTTTTCCTTAAATGGAAAAAGATGGTGGAGACTCAAACAGGAAGAAAAATCAAACATCTCCGTACAAACAATGGTGGAGAGTACAAAAATGATCAATTTCTGAAAGTCTGTGAAGAAGAAGGTATTGTCAGGCATTTCACTTTCAGATCTACACCACAACAAAATGGGGTGGCAGAGCATATGAACCGAACATTAGTGGAGAAGGTTCGGTGTATATTGTCTAATGCTGGGGTAGGCAAAGAATTTTGGGCTAAGGCTTTGGTCTATGCTTGTCACATTGTCAACCGCTTACCATCGACTGCTATTGGTGGTAAAACACCATTAGAGAAATGGTTTGGAGTACCTGCTACAGATTATAATTCCTTACATGTGTTTGGTTCCACTGCATACTACCATGTTAAGGAGTCAAAGCTGGATCCAAGAGCAAAGAAGGCGATCTTTATGAGGATCACCTCTGGTGTGAAAGGATATCGTCTTTGGTGTCCAGAAACAAAGAAAATAATCTTCAGTAGGGATGTTACCTTTGATGAATCTACCATGTTGAGAAAGGTGACTTCAGAAAAATTGGAGCAGACGGATGGAACTCCCAAACAAGTGGAGTTTGAATGAAGCAGAATTGACCCAGCCAGTAAAGAAACTGATGTTGACTCTCCTATGGTAGAAGAAGAATCAGATGAAGAAAAGTCAGATGAAGAAGAGGTTCAAACCCAAGAACCTCCACAGCAACATGAATTAATTGCACTCAGAAATGAAAAGAGGACCATTAGACAACCTACTCGTTATAGTGATATGGTCTCTTTTGCATCACCAATTGTAATTGATGACGTTCCTACCACTTTTAATGAAGCAGTAAAAAGTTCAGAACATAAAAAGTGGAGGATCGCCATGAATGAAGAAATGCAATCCCTTCAAAAGAAACAGACGTGGAAACTAGCTAGTCTTCCGAAGGGAAAGAAGGTAATTGGGTGCAAGTGGGTATATGCAAAGAAATATGGATTTCCTGACAAGAATAACATCCGCTACAAAGCAAGATTGGTGGTTAAAGGCTATGCTCAAACGGAGGGAGTTGATTATAATGAAGTATTTTCTCAAGTTGTAAAACATTCATCCATTAGAATTTTGTTGGCTTTGGTAGCGTAGTTGAATTTAGAACTAGTTCAGATGGATGTAAAAACTGCATTTTTACATGGAGACTTGGATGAGGAAATCTACATGACTCAGCCAGATGGATTCAAAGTTGTTGAAAAAGAAGAGATGGTGTGCAAATTAGAAAAATCGATGTACGGATTGAAGCGATCTCCAAGGCAATGATACAAGCGATTTGACAAGTTTATGATAGGGCAGAAGTACACAAGAAGCAATATGATCATTGTGTGTATTTATGCAAGCTACAAGACGGATCCTATATATATCTTCTTCTTTATGTTGATGATATGTTGATAGCTTCCAGGAGTCAGACAGAAATTGCGAAACTAAATACTCAATTGAATAGGGAGTTTGAGATGAAGGATCTTGGTGAAGCGAAAAAGATTCTAGGTATGGAGATATCAAGGGATAAGAAATTGGGGAGACTTTGTTTGTCTCAGAAAGACTATCTGAGGAAGGTACTAAAACGTTTTGGCATGAATGAGAAGTCAAAACCAATTAGTACACCTCTTGCTCCTCATTTCAAGCTCGGTGCATCCATGTCACCTAAGGATGATGCAGAACGGGAATACATGTCAAAGGTTCGATATGCAAGTGCTGTTGGTAGCTTGATATATGCAATGGTGTGTACGAGACCCGATATTTCACATGCAGTTAGGGTTGTGAGCAGGTATATGCATGATCCTGGAAAGAAGCATTAGCAAGCTGTGAAATGAATTCTGCGGTATATTCTGAACACCATAGATGTTGGTTCGATCTTTCAGCAGGACAAACAAGATGGTCAGTGTGTAGTTGGGTATTGTGATTCAGACTATGCAGGTGATTTGGACAAGCGTTGATCAACTACTGGTTATGTGTTTACATTTGCAAAGGCACCAGTCAGTTAGAAGTCCA